AAATTGCTGCCTCTGTGCTGCGCAAGCAATGTGTGTATATTCCCCCTCCCCACCGTACAGTGTATTGTGTGTAAAGGCAGAGCTGGTGTTTACTGGTGCCCCTCCTCCCTTCACCATACCAGGCCACATGCCATTGACATTGGGAGGGTCCCCCCCCTTGGAAAAGCACCTTACCCCCATACAAGAGCCTCTTCCCCACAAGCATGGCCTGGTGGTTGTGGGGGTCTGTGGGCAGGGGAGCTCATCTGCACCTGGGTAACCCTATTCATAATGCGGGGAACCAAGATGTCCCCCCTTGGTAATGAGTAAGGGGTACTTGTACCCCTATTCATCCACTAAAGAGTTAAATAAAATGTAAATAAACACACAACCCCTTAGAAAAAAATCCTTTAACCCCTTCGTGACGGGAGACGTACACTGTACGTCCCGCCACAAAGGGACCAAATGACTCCTCACGTACACTGTACGCGACGAGTTAATTGCTGCACTAGAAGTCTGGTAACCGCTGAGATGTGAACTAGAGCCCAAAATACCATTGGAATACATTGGATGCGTTTTCGATGCGTTCTGTAACTGTTCTGCTCTGCTTCTGGAACGCATTTGGTGTATACAAGCCCTAAAGCACTTTTGTGTATTCTGTGACAGCTGTCAAATTCTTTGTTTACATTCGGGATCAGAATATCAGCAAAGCAGCAGAAGCTGTTACAGAATAACACATATCACTCAGTTGCTTTCTTGGTTGACATTTTGTAACAATATTCTGTTACTTTGTTTTCATTCGGGATAAAAGCCCAAAATGTCAACGAAAAGCAGATAAGCCTGAGAGCGGTAAATGGCAGCACTCCTGCTGGTTGTGTTTAGTTCCGAATGAAATTCGTATGTATCCGGATTTTGTTATCGAACATTCGGATTCGTTCGAGTTTGTTATTTCTATCATTCGGAAATTCGGATGCATTCTAATGTCCGAATTTACAGAAATTTGTACGAATTTCAATTTGGAACGAAACGAATCGCACATGTCTAATTTAGGGTGAATCCACAGTGAGGTGGAATTATTTCTACTAGATTCCTCACATAACTAACCACAACCTACCTTACAGCACCGTTGGCACTAATATACTGTATAGATTTCTCCAGGAGGTCTATAAGTGTGCAACAAGCTGATAATTTCTCAACTTATAACTATTGTCCTCTTTTATATTCTTTATTACATACATTCGATATCATATGCCTATCCTGAGTCAGTAATCAAAGTTTATGGTTAAAATAAAATATGTCAATTATTCCAGGCGTTCTTGAAAACTAATTACCAATTAAATTTACAACAATCATAAATCTAATCATAAAAAATCAAGTTTAACAGGTTGTCATGTTGAAAAAAAGCACAGCTTCTTTCTTATTTATACAACAGTTTCCTGAAGCAACATTCTATACATGTTGGTGGAAAATAAGCTGTAGATCGACCTGTTCCTGAATGTTTCCAAGAACAGAAAACCACACAAAAGCATCAGTTGCATAGTTGCATGAGTTATTTGACTGTGGCCCTCATTTTATCTCATGTTAATTGTGCCATTGAATGCTTAATTTAGGAAATAAATATCGCAAAGCCAAAACTTACGTTTTGGATAGAGTATAGAAGGGGGTTGGACGATGTGTGAGGCATTGCCGTCCGCTGCGTGTCCTCGGGAATTGTCCAAAACACTGACCAAATATTAACCCCAAAGTTCCCCAATCTGAACACAGGTGGGGATCATAAACACAACACACTAATACCCAAGCTACCAACACCCACAAATTAAAGGCTTGTGAAGAACCTATAGTGGCCCACACAGTGAGGATATACAGATTAAACATTTGCCTCTCCTTTATAATGTACTGGTAAAACTCTTTGCATATTCTGAAGTAACTCTTTTGATAAATTCCCTTCTGTATTGATAAAATGTAAAATTAGAATCATGTTTTTATTGCTGTCTGTGTTGCTGTTAGCAAGATTCACCCTCTCTATTTGTTCTGGTTACCACTGAGAGTAAAAGAAATCCCAAATTTTTGGCTGCCACCAAAACAGGAATAGAGTAGAAATCTTACACTAGCTGTAGTGGCAATTAGGGATCTCCTTCATTTTTGCGGGATTTCCGCTCACTTCCTGCTATGGCTATTGGGCAGGAAGTGAAGGGAAGTTTCCTCGATAGAGCACAAATGGCAAAAACAAAATGGAAAAGGTTATAACCCTACCTTGTATATAACAGAAATCACTGCGCTGGGAATGCGTGCCTAACTACCTGATTGGACCAGCCGCAACAATGTGTATAGGTGAACAAATGTAAAGCAAATATGTTGCGCTCGGTCTATGTGAACCAACTACACACTAAAGTGTTAATAAACAAATCTGTGTAAAATTAAGACAATCTGTGTGAAAAAATTGATGCAAGTGGATTATTTACATATGACTAGAAGGTTCAACACACAAACATAATAAGAATAATACAAATCAACACTGGAACCTTCAGAATTAGAGCTGTGAACAAACTTTGAGAAGGAAGGAGGGGCTCTGTGGTGGCCCTCCAATACTCCTTAAAAAAAATTTGCAAATAAATCAAAACTAAAATAATAACAGCAAAGAAACTGACATTTCAAGGGGCATGTATCATTACATGCATAACCAACGAACAGCACTTAAGAAAGGGCAACTTCCCTCTCTCAGTGACACTTGATCAATCTGTCCGGCAGTCCTCCAAACATTCACTGACAATTCCCCAAGAGGGGCCTTATTAAAAAGGTCTTTTAAGTTCTGATTTTCCAACCCCTTCTAATGTCAAGGATCTCAAGTCTCCCTGATGTTCAGGGAGTCTCCCTCTTTTGGACAGCAGCTCCCTGATGTCTGCGAGAGAGGCAATATCACGGTTTAAATTTTAGTTTTCTGTGTTGTTTTACTACACCGCTAGCCAGAGGTTCGCATGTTTAAGATATACATGCCGAACCAATGAGGTTGATCACTGGCACTAGACATGTGCACTGCCAAAAAATTCGTTTAGTTTCGTTTCGTTTTAAATTCGGATATGTGTTATTTCGTTTTTTCGGGATTCGGGTTTGAAAGTCAATTCGGATTCGGAATTCGGATTCGGACGAAATTCGGTAGCGTTAGTACGAACGTTCGTTTCGTTTTCTGTTCTTATTCGTTTCTTATTCGTTTCGTTCGTTTGCAGCAAAAGTGACATTTGAGGGGGAAAAATATTTTTCTCCTTCTCTAATGTCACTTTGCTGCAACGAACGAAACGAATAAGAAACGAATAAGAAACGAATAAGAACAGAAAACGAAATGAACGTTCGTACTAACGCTACCGAATTTCGGAAATGGAAATTCGGATTCGTTTGCATTCGTTATGTCTGTAATTCGGAATTCGGATACATCCGAATGTCCGAATTTCCGAAAATTCGTCCGAATTTCGATTCGGAACGAATCGCACATGTCTAACTGGCACTAATTCTGAAGGTTCCAGTGTTGATTTGTATTATTCTTATTATGTTTGTGTGTTGAACCTTCTAGTCATATGTAAATAATCCACTTGCATCAATTTTTTCACATGGATTGTCGTAATTTTACACAGATTTGTTTATTAACACCTCAGTGTGTAGTTGGTTCACATAGACCGAGCGCAACATATTTGATTTACATTTATAACCCTACCTTATTTTATTAAAATGTACAAAAAAAGTTTGACATTAGTTCCACTTTAAGAAAGCTTTTCTTATTACTATCCCTTATATGCAGTTGACCATTACAAAGAACATTTACAAATCTATACATACTATTTAAATAACAAATTATGGAGCAGCAAAAAAAGGTGAACGACACACTAAAATTTACTTTAGAGTAAATCTTATTGTAGCACCCTGTAGGCAGGAGTGCTATTGAATTTAATGTTTTCATATTGTATGCAGTCTGATGCTGATTTGTAGTCTATTTTTTTTTCATGAAAAAAGTGTGCCTTTGCACAAAAAAGGTTGAAAAACACTGGTCTATGCTCATCCTGTTTCCTCTAATCAGTCTGTCATTGTTTGCATCTGTCTGCTGCTGGTTGTACCCTGGTCACAAACCAGAGCAACCAAGGAGAGTTTGCTATGATTAGGTATGTCTCCCTAGGGCAGCAATCACTATGGGGTTAATGGCCAGTGGTGCATGCTGGGAGATGACATAAATGCTTGGGGTGGACCATGTGAGCTCTCTCTTCCTCCCCTGGGCCCTGCCTGGGGGGAAGCTGCTATGGACTGTCTAAGATGGCTAGACCTGAAGCCTAGGGACTAGCCATGAGCTTTCACTGCGTCTGGAGGCCCAGTAGTTACTACTGATGACAAGAATGGATATGACTGGTGATCTCTACCTCAAGTACTGCTGCGACAGGTGCTCTTACACAGACTGTCATGTCTGGCTTAAAGGTCCTAGTCTGTGATGGCTGCAGCTACTCAAGGGAGTCTACACCAGCCTGGATGATCCTGATCCTCAATCTCTCTCCCTGAAGTTCATCAATAAAGTTTCCCAGCATCATATCTACACTGTGGACTTCACTTTTATTGGTCACCATAGAGGGTGCTAAGTGCTAATGGGTAAGGTAAATGTGGATACCCCTAAACCTGGCAATTATTGTGCTGCGGTAACCCATAGCAACCGACCTTGCGTCCTAGGTATTATGTTGCTCAAGGTGTACTGGTGTGCTGTGTACTCATTGATTGAGGTTCATCACAGAGGAAAGACAGACCCATCATACTGTTATATGCTCCTCCTTAGGGGGTGTGCTACACTATGGTAATTATTTAGAACCTGTATAACTTACTACAGTTTCCCTTTAACTGGCTGTACTATGTATTTTACAAATAACATCCCACATTTAAAAAAAAACAACTTTAACTCTAAAAAAGAGGTTTTGGCTGGAGTCGGCCTTTAATTGGACCAGAGCTCTTGAAAGAAACAAATACACTTTTCCATTTGTTCAAATATGTTACATTTTATTTGATTTGCTCTGAGGAATTCTGCACTGCTAGATCAGGCAGACGAAACTTCAATTAGCAATGACCCTTTCACGTCACTGAACTTTTCAGATGTCAAGTCCACCAGGAGATACCTTGGACCACTTCGGTACGGGGTGATGTAGAAATTTGTCATTGATCGCTGATTCTTTTTTAAACAAGGTACCCTGTAAACACACGTGCATAGATATATAAATATACTGTATAATACATACACTTCAACTGTCCCTTACCTCTTTCAGCAAGGGTGCAGTAATGAACCAGGGAGCCTGGCAGGTGTTCATGTGACCACCCGCCCAGCTTCCTGATTGGATGGGAAGCCTGGGAGGCCGCAGCCATTCTCCCTCACAGCTTCCCAGGCCCAGAGGACTGCGGTTGTTATGTGAGGAATTATTGCTATCCCAACATGTGTAGCGCGATCGTTGTTTTGGTACATAGGCACACTCAACGCCTTTTACGTGAATGCACGCTCGCTGGGGTGGGGGGACTTAAAAAAAAGTGTATTATTATTTTTACATTTATTTTATATTATTTTTTAAAACTGTTTTTTTTTAACTTTACTTTAATTGCTATCACATAGGGGACTTACAAGCCCCCTATGTGATAGCATAGGGGCCCTATAATATCATCTTCATACTTACTCAATCCTTATAGGCTCTTTTACCAGCCCACTGCCTTCCACTGTCAGAATGGTGTTCTCAGCATCCTCCGAAAGGGGATTGATGAAAATAATCTCTATATTGAAAGGCTGATTTTTGTGTGCTTGACCTGTAGCCTGTAAAGAGAAAAAAAACCAAACATAAGTCTTCTTTTCATACAAACAGTAGATAAAGGGTCCGTCCACCAAAAACTGATATTTTATTTATAGGAATAATGTGGTGGGCTGGGTCAGCCCATGGATTCTTCTATTTCTTTTGGAATCTGCTAAGAGATCTCCATGCCTACCTGAACTACCCATTGGGTTTTGGGCCTGGGTGTCATCCCACCTTGGAGGATTCCCACTCATCCAGAATATGAACTAAATTAAAACAAAAAACAACAGGGAGAGTGGGAACCCCTTATAGTGTCCATGGTAGGTGTGCAGACCAGGGACCAGAGCACATATGGTGCCTCTGGAGATAAATCAAATTATTAGGTAATTTAACTTCACAATATCTACCAAAAAATGAAATATTAGTTGTAGGTGGACTGGCCCTTTAATTGACAAGAGTTTTAAGTTATTATACCTTTATCACAATGGGCTGGGAGCCCAGCTTCATCACTGATTCCACCAGTAGTTTTCCTCCTTTCTCATCTTCACACAGAGCAACAGCTTTGATCATGTTATCTGTAGTTATTGCGGCTTCATACTGAGTGTATGTTATTGTAAAAGGTATTTTTTTCTCTAAAAGAATGAAAAAGCAAAATGAGTTTGAACTATGGACCATGAGATATGGTCCATGGTATGAGATACCTGCAGAGTAAATCCTTATTTTCAAGTGAGCTGGTATCACTCTAAAGCTACTCAATTACTGAATTGTTAGGGGTCTATTATGATCCCACTGTACTTTCTCCTTTCTACTAAAGTGTTTATAATTTAGGAAGACCCAGTCACCAGACCATTAATTTCAACAAAATTTCCATCATCCAAATATACGGTATTTGCATTTAATGTGCTTTCAGCATGTTATTTACCAATAAAAGCCTCCTTTGTGTAGACATCCAAAAACCCTGAGACTGCTGCTGGGTACCACCATCTTGGATGAGGAGGGGGCTATGATGTGGAAGAAGGAAGTGGGCTGTGCTAGGGAATTAAAGGAGAACTATGGGGTTAAGGCTTTTCCCCATAGTTCTTCTTAGGGTAACGGGAGCACACAAACTAGCGTCCTCCCGTCACCCTAAGCTCAGTATACTGTGAGCTACAGCTCGCGGTATACCGAGACGCCACAGTATACCGGGAGCTACAGCTTGCAGTATACTGAGACGCCGCAGCTGAAGCGGATCCCGACAATTATGTCTGGATCCGCCCAGATGCATGAGTGACATCTGGCTCTGTCTATCTAGAGGCAGAGCCAGCTGTACCCGCCCCCTCCCCCGTCCGTTCAAAGAGCTGTGACAGGATCGAGAAGTGAGCGAACACCTGTATGTGTTTGCTCACTTCCCGATCTACTGAGCCAACCTGTGACAGTCTCATTGTCACAGGTCAGCTAGAACTATGAGGTGAGTGAAAAGCACTCACCTCATAGTTCTCCTTTAACTTTCCTAGAATAGTCAAACAGTCTAGCAAATACAAAGGTACATTGCAAGTGAATGAAAAAAATACATATATAAACAAAATAAAGGTCGAGAAGACTATGCAGTCTTCTCCTTAGGATCTTTCCGCTGAAGATGATGGGTGCTCTTGCCATCAGTAGTGCCCTTGAAAATAGTATCTGGTAGATTTAATGAGATGTTGTCCCTAGAAGGCCATGTGAATCAGATGCTTCTTGGATGCAGGTTCTGCAATCCAGCACTTTAACCAAATTGTCCTATGCATGTGTACTGAAAGGATGTGAGATATAAGCTGGTAAACATCTAGGAGACCGTCACAAATTAAGTTTAAAGCTACAGCCCTTTGCTATATGTGTTTTATAATTAAATGATCAACCACAGCAGTGGCAAGATCTGTTTTAAAGGATTTTAACCAGACAGCCATGATTTGGCACAGTAAAGTCACAGCCAAAATGGGGCGAAGAGGAGGACTCAACAGTGAGAACATATTTTTGCAAAAGGGCTTCTAACCGCTAATTAGTTGGGTTCTTAAAGGCAGGGGCATCCTCCACCGTGGTAGCCACTTTGTTAAAGTAGGACATTGCTGCATCCACAGTGACGGTAAACCACTTTTGCACAAAGACCTCCCTAAATGGGTACAAGGGTTGGTTAACTCTGCAGTTAATCATTTACACAGAATAATAGCTGCCACCACGTGTTTTAACAGAAATACGCACTGTTACCAGCAAATACTGGGACAAGTCAAGACTTAAGCAATGTCTGTGATGCTCACTGTCCTACAGACAGAAATATAACAGGATTTTACAATATGGTAGCTCTCTTTACAGAGACTAGGATACTTTAAGTTCAAATTTACAGCGTAGAGATAAGCCTAATGATTTTAAAATATCGTTTTTAATAAAATAAATGGTGCAGAAAAAATTACAAAAAGAGAGACAAATAATACAATAGTAAAAAATGACAGTACTTTAGAAAGTCCTTGGTTCTATGGTTTCAGGCAGAGTCCAGTCAATGAAACAGAAAATAGATCAGGGATTGGCTCTTCTGGAGTTTTCTTGATGGAAAACGAGAGCTTGACTCTTCTTGATGGTAATAGCTTTCTCTTGATGATCAATGAGAGCTGCCAGCTGCCTTGTGCAACAGCTTTTTGTGGGGCCTCTAGAAGCTGTCACTGAGCCAGCTCCCACCAAATCATAAAGGCTCAGGGGGGAGGCAACAGGCTGAAGTGCTTTATGATCTCTCCCCTGCCCCTCCCAGAATGTGAGCTTCACAAAAGTAGCAGTATTTTGATATACTAACATGTTACCACTTGATAAACAATAGATTATTGTGTGTAATGGAATTAGCTTTCTATAGATACCAGACCTGTGATGTATGCCTCCCTCTGAAGGAGCAATGTGTGTCTTCAGGCCTCTGGCCCAGAGTGTTTAGTACAGCTGCTATCAGTATTGTCTGAAACATTTATAAATGTAGTGGTTATTAATGTATCACCTCCAGGTCCAAAGTTATGAATACCGAGTGACATTTTGAAACTGGCAGGGTGAGTTGAGAGTCATTTGCTCATTATCAGTCCATGTTTGTGGATTAACTGGGTCTGTCAAGTGTCATCCCTTTACAACTAAGACCATAAAACAGCCAGGCCTGAACAAACAACTTGGGTACTTAGCAGACTGTGGAATGTGAAGGATTTCCCTTTAAAGAGCCTTTAGACAGGGTGTTTAACCCCTTCATGACGGGAGACGTACACTGTACGTCCCGCCACAAAGGGACCTGATGACTCGTCACGTACACCGTACGTGACAAGTTATTTGCTGCACTATAGATAGATCTATAGATATCTCTCTCAAGCTATACTGGCTTTTTTTTCTTTCACTTTCAGGGATACATAATGTATCTATTCCTGAAAGAAGAATGTTTCAGTTTTCTGATGGTTGTTGGAACAATCAGAAAACTAGTGACAGCTGAATCCTGAACTGCTGCAGGATCAGTGTCACTAACTTATTATCGGCTGTTCTGAAGTTTGAAGCAGCCTGATAATAACCAAAAATGTAATAATTTATAAATAATATATTAAATTGTGAAAAGTGCAAAAAAACATAAAAAAAAAAAATAAGGAATAAATGAATGTATTTATTGCATTTTTTTTAGCTGTGCTGGTTTTGTAAAAAAATACTACAAATCAAAACCTGGAAAAAAGTGTTTTTTTTACGTTTTTTCCTTTTTTTAATATTTTATTTGTCCTAAGTGAGGCGTTAGACACACATATGTGATATAAATATGTATCCCTATCTGTCCTCTAAAAAACAATATATAATATGTGTGGGTGCACTTTGTAAGAAAGTATATTACTGACGTGAAAGAATCATACAGCAAAAATTACAAAAGTGTGTCAGTCATTTACGAACAGAAACTAAAAACAAGCTCAGTCATGAAGGGGTTAATCCGTATCTGACTTGATCATATCCAGAAGTAGCTTATTCCAGAAAACTGAGAGAACAAGGGATTTCCTCATTAGTATTGGGGTGCCCAGACCTCATTACCATCAAAGGGAGGGCTAGGTGAAATATCATAAAAGTTTCAGCCCTCCTCTCTCACACCCCTGGGCATTTCTGATTTGGTGGAGACTGACTCAGTGACACCCTCTAAAAGGCCCACAAAAAGCTGTTGCAAAAGGCAGCTGGAGATCCCCTTTACCACCAAGAATAGAACATCTGCCAAAAGATTTATTTTTAGAAATCTATGGATCTCAGATCCAGTTTATGTTTCACTGAATACCTAGAACCGAGGACTTTGCTAAGTAATTACATGTTTTTCCCTTTTTGTTATACTGCTGTATTATTTGTCTCTTTTATGTAACATATTTTCTGTATATTTTCCTGCACCTTTTCCTTTAGAATTGTTAAGCTAATCTCTATGCTCTAAATTAGAATTTAAATAATTATTGTCTCTGTGAAGAGGGCTACTATATTGTAAAACCTTTTATACTCCTGTCTGGAGGGACAGTAAGCATCTCAGACATTGCTCAAGGCAGGGATTGTCACAGCATTTGCTGGGAGTGGTACATGCTTCTGTTAAAACACATGGTGGCAGCTATAGCTTGTGTGTGTAAAGGGTTAACTGCAGAGTTAACCAACCCTCAGTCTACTGGCCTTAGATTGTTGTCCTGCGAGCTGGAAAATCGCTGTGCAGAATGAGGCAGAGAGTGCCATCATCACACCAATTACTACCTCCTATGTTTAAAGAAGAACTATGGGGCAATGTTTTTTCCCATAGTTCTCCTCAGGGTTACAGGAGGACATATACTGTGTCTTCCCGTGATCCAAAACTCAGCATATAGTAGGCTGTTGCCTGCTGTATGCTGAGAGCGCCACTGCCGGGACAGTCACCGATTTCTGCAGGGAGATGATCAAGAAGTGAGCGGATCAACGGTATGTTTTCACTCACTTCCCGATCAATAGAGCCTGTAATTGTCCTTTAACCCACAAAGGAGGGGGAGGTCTTTGGGCATTGAACACATTGGCTGTTCTGTGTTGTTGTTAGTGAACCTATTCTAATAATACATGTATTGGACTCTTGAACTGTCTTGTTTGGAACTTCCATTAGATTTTATATATACATGTATCGAGGTTATCACTTTGCTCTCTCTGCTGCTGTCTGCTGTCTGGATGTTTCTTGTCAGCTCATTCACATGCAGGACATCTGATTGGCTACAAGTTATACCCCTTACCCTCCCTGCTGTAAAGTGAATGGCAGGAGGCTGAAATGAAGTCAGATTTAGGTATTTACACAAGCCACATTCAAAATGAATTTAATTATTTGTATTGACTACATAACTGCTCAGAAGGTGTTGAAATTGATATAACTAGAGTTCAGCTTTAAGGGAAATTTTGCTTTCAGGGACATGTATGTCACATTACTAACCTCCTTCTAAAAATTCTACTTTCTTGGGTGTCATACTGTTCCAATCATATTAATACTTTCTGAGTCACTCACCTGAAACTAGAAATTGTGACTTACCTCAGACTTCTCTTTCTGAACACTTGTTGCCAGGAGCAACTTAGTGTTTAAGTCAGAGAATTGTCATGGCTGCCTGGCAACTAGCAGTTTTAGAAAGAGGTCAGAAATATCTGCCCCCAAATTTATTTCCACATCGGTTTGCCTTTTCAAATGATAGTTTCCTGTAAATGTGTTGATAGTCATAAGTCAGGCAGTAGTAGTAACTTCTGCTGAAAGGGTCTGTCCACCCAAAATTTTCATTTTAACAAACACTGGAAAGATGGACAAACCTGACAGTTTCTTAAAGGGGAACCTATTGGTTGGATCTTTGCACTTGAGCTGCTGAGTCTGCACCCTTACTGTGGCCATGTTGAGGGTTTCCCACTCTCCATATTTGATTTAAAAAAAATATTTTAGAGAATGCAACAAGAGTAGCTGATACACACAAAGTGAGGGAGGACCAACCAAAACTCCCAGGAAGACAGGAGCATGCTACGGATTTATGACAGGGAGCTCTTGCTGTTGGAGTATCCAACACATAGGAAGCCAGGGGCTGACTCAGGCGGACAGGTTCCACCAATTGTTAAAATATCACTTTTGGGTGTGCTGGCATTACATATGTGTATGCAAACCATGCAAGCATACCTTCTTTAGGTTCCAAGGTAACAGTCTGGGCTTCACTTAGGATCGCTTTCACTGGTGCATTAGTATATACAATAGCGTTAGCAGTCATCTTGAGTTGTAGGTTTATCTTGACTGAACTTGTGCTTCTCAGTACCAGTGTGAAGGTGACATCATGACCAACCAGTGGGTCAGTGCTCTGTGTAAAAGCACCCTCAAAATCTGGTTTTGGCACCGGCTCTGTGTTGGTGGCTGAGAATGCAACAGTGGCAGGAGCAGCAGGAAGTCTGGACCTCGTGGAGGACATGAGTGACTCGGCTTTCTTGAAAATCTCCCTTTCTTTATTGCTTCCTGAAAACACAGAATTGTATAATTTCCTTAGTGAGAGTTATGAATGGCTTAAAGGAAACCAGTACTGAGAGAAATACTTGGCCTGCTTTTGCTAATCCTCTTCTATAAATACTAGATGCCCACTGTCTCTGGTTTCAATACTTTCTGAGTCACTGACTTGTAATCTCTGTGCTTCTTTGGATCAGAGACAAATCAAAACAGATCTAAGGACTTGTTTCAGGTCAGTGCCACTGAAAGTATTGAAGGCACTGGATCACCATGACAGTCAGGCAGTTAGCATTCTCAGAAGAGGAGACCAGCAATTGCAGCCACCATATGCATGAAAGTTATAGCTTATGGCTTAAAGAAGAACTAAGGGATTTATTAAAATTAACCCTTGCAGTGGGGCTACCCCCATACTGCAAGGGTTAAGTGTTTGTTTTGGGTCTGTTGGCAACAAAAAAGATGGTACACTCACCTGATCCTTGGTCCTGCAGCACTGAGCACTCACCTATCTCCCCCTATGCTGTGGTATGTCCCTCGGAGTTCTCATGTCTAATGGACCTGCATTAGACGTGCAGGTTCTTAGACTGCTGTTGCCCGGGAGGAGAAGAGGCTGATCTAGCAGCTAGGTGAGACCAAGAGTCAAGTGACTATATCTTCTTTATTTACATCTTAGACCTAAATGAGCAGGTAACCCTTGCAGTGGGGGGGGAGTAGCTCACTGCAAGGGTACATTTTAATACATTCTGAAGTTCTTCTTCAAAGTAGCACCAAAGCCAACACTTTTTTTTGTTTTGGAAAAAAGTTAAAGAGGGTTATAACCCCATTAGCTGTATATCATTGGGGAGATTTCCCTTTACTTCATCTCTGATAGCCATAACAGGAAGTGAGAGGAAATCTCTCCATGGGTTGGCACGCTATTCCTGTTCTGATGACAACCCAAAAATTGTAATTTTCTTTCACAGTCACCAGGACAAATAGAGAGGGTGAATCTCACGGACAGCAATGACAGGTGGTCTAGCCCCTCTCCACTCTATACAGAATATACAGGAGATTTTAACAATACAGTGTCAAAGGAAGGCCAAATGTTTAATTTGTAGCTTTCAGAGTGAAGATCACTTAACTCCAAAGTGTGTTCTAACAGGACAGCAGACAATTAGCATAGTCTAGAGGTAAACATTTTCTCTTAAAATTTGAGATAAATGTGTATATTTCAGATATTTCAGACAAATATAATAATTAATAACTCCCATTCCGTGCAGTGCACAATCATAAAACCTTCTGCAAAATCCTGGCTGCACATAGAGAAGATGTTAGACTCCAAACTTTATTGTAAAATATTGTGTACTTAATATTTGGGTCTTTTCACATTGTTGGAGCTGATTCTGAAAGGTGTTTGATGTGCATAGCATAACCACAGCTGAAACCATTGCTCTTACTTTCAGATTTATCATTAATACCTTGGCACAATTGTGAGCGTTTGAAGATTTTGATAACCAACAACCTACTTGTGCTAATTGGGTAGATGCAACGGCTATCCTATTCCATCCAAATGGATAGCCTAAGTGGATTGCAGCTAACATTGATCTCAAAAGGTATTAAAATGGAGATCAGTAATCAAATCCTGGTCACATCTGAGGGTTTCATCTACCTTGGGGGGGTATGGTCTGCGTGTTTCATTCAACCCCAAGAGGAGGAGAAATACTTTTTCTGTAAACGTTATCCCTTTTTTTATACCGTTTGCTTTGGTGTACCTCAGGGTCCATTCACACTGGAGTGTTTCGCTAAGCTCACATTACAGTACATTTTGCGTAGGCTATTGCATAAGGTGCCCAGCATGTGGTATCGTGTGCTAGGTACGTTGAAATTTATTTCAGTGCACTTCTCAGCGGCCGTGCGTTGCAGCGCAATAAAAAAAAGTAGGGCATGTACTACTTCTTCTCACCACACGACACCGCAACGCAGAAGGTGCACTTGGCTGCCACTGACACTAATGGCCACTGACACTAATGGCCGCGCACCTAGCACATGGTACTGCACACTAGATGTGATATGTAATGTAATTGTAAATAATGTAATATGTAAAGAGTAGGGGTGAGCTGAGTGTTCGATTTGAACATCAGTTTGAATCGAACATCGGCAGTTCGAGCGCTCACGGAACGCCAAACTTTATGGGATGTTTACGGTTTGTTCGACCGCGGACATTCCATAATGCAAAATGCCCACTGAAGCTCTGATTTGTTAAAGTCTTGCACCTGAACACAGGTGCAAGACTTTGCCCAATCAGGGCTCAGCAAAAGAGGGGCCTGAAGGAGAAAGTTCTCTATCAGGTCCCCCATGCTGATTGACAGCAGGCAGTGGGCGGGTGCAACAGCCAGCTTGCTTTCGGCTATTGCATTTTATAATATCCAATAGCAGGCTGGGTATGGCTCCCAGCCTGCATTGAAGAGGAGGCAGGGGGGCGGGGCAGAGGAGCCGGATCGCAGAAGAAGCCGGCGGACCAGGGAACCGGAGGCCGGGACAGCAGCGGAGGTACGGGGGGCAGCGAAGGCATGCAGTGGTCAGTGTCCCCGCCAACACAGGCACAGAGAGCAGCGGGGATTTGAAGGGACACAGGCCGCTGCAGGCAACAGTTCTTCTAAATATACCAGCAGCTGTCAGTACATTTAGGAGGAGAACTGTGGACCCGTTCGACCCCTATTCACTTGCATTGAGTTCGAGTTCATATTCAAACTTTTCGGCCGTTCGAATGTTCGAATACGAACCGAACACAGTGGTGTTCGGCTCATCACTAGTGAAGAGGGTATTTCTTTTAAAAGGGCAAGTAATTTCCACCTCCTTCCTGTGGTGTCTATAAGACAAGCAGTGAAGAGAGATCTCCCCAATGGTGAGTTTACCATTCCCTACTACATCTATGTAGCCCTGATGTAGTGTGGGCTAAACTCAAAAACATTTTGGCTTTAGATACACGTTGTACTGATTTGTCAATACAGAAACACTGGGGGGGATTTATCAAAACCAGGGCAAAGCAAGCAATATCTGGAACAACTGCCCATGGCAACCAATCAGCATCTTTCACTTTCAAATCTTAACTGCACAAACTGAAACGAGAAGCTGAAAGGTTGCAATGGGCAACTGCTTCAGATTCTTTCTGTTCCAGTTTTGATGAATTCCCCCCATTGACGCTGTTATTGCTAAGGTCTCTCTTTTTGGAAAGTTCTAATTTCCTGGACGGCGTATGGACTCTTGCATTTTTACTTTGAGTTAATTATTGACACAGGAAACCAGGTAAGGTCTTCTGACTTTTGTTGTATATTGTAGATATGTGTTTCATGACAGCGACTCAGGATGTTTCTAAGCCCGTAGTTGTTTCCAAAAGTGGTCAGCAAAGGTAGTCTCCAAATTTCTCCCATGACAGATCTAGTTTGTATGCCAACACAGTTTATGTACTTGGGCAAGACCATACTCCATATGCATTAAAGCTGAAGTATGATTTGCTTATATTGTGCTTTCTCTGGTACCTCCCCCTCAACATGCTAATTACATTTTTAAAGAAAACCTTTCTGTTTTCACAACATGCCTTATTTTTAGATCCAATGACATCATCACCCTGTGCATCTTATGCAATGCAGGCAGATTATTATAGCCAGAATAAAATAAAGGAAGTTACATTGAAAAATATATATTTAAAACACAATGTTGTAGTACTTTAATATCACCACTAGATGTCAGTATGGTACTAATGAGTTGTGTTATACATGTTTTCTTCCTCTGCATGGTTAAGCATAATTAATGTGCAACTGAAGCCAGTTCTGGATAGGGTGGAGAGGGATTAGAACACCTGTCAGGTTTTTATTGCTGTCTGTGTCCTCGTTATTTGTCTGTGTCCTCTCCATTTGTCCTGGTGACTGTTATCACTGAAAGTGAAAGAAAATCTCAAATTTAAGGTTGTCATCAGAACAGAAATAGATGGGAAATCTTCGAATAGGGACACTAGTTCTGGTGACCCTGCCGATCATCAGGGAATTTCTCTCACTTTTTCTTACTTCCTGTTGTGGCTATCGGACAGATGCAGATGGTAGATAAAAGGTGTTAGGGGTTATAAGCCTCCCTTACCAGCCAAAGTGAGAAAAAAAAGTTTAGGCTTCAGTTCTACTTCACACCTAACTGTTGAAGTGCATTGTGGTAACACAAGCATGTTAACACTGTGCATTGCCATGCGCTGTGTTCGGGAGGGAACCCCCCCCCCCAGCCCAGAAATTAGATGTGCACCTCCAGTACACAACTATCAGCATGGGGCATTTGAATGCCATTTTGAATGAATGGCACTACATCACATCATTCCAAGTAATTATGTTTATGTGTGTTTTACATGCATTCCCGTATGTTGCATTGAAGAAAAATGCAGACTTCGCTATCCAGGGCTCCATTTGAGTGATTTCACCTCACTTCCTGTTCACCAGACACATACTAACCAACATTATGCTCCCAGATGCCGGGACACTGTTAATGCCAGCTATGGTTCACATTTCATTCACCCACTTTCCAGGTGGGTGTGCCCAAATCATTTCCACTTTACAAGTTGGTCCCTCCCAGACTTTGCCTCTATATATGTGGAACCACCCATCAAACTCACTTTGTGGGTTGGTGCCACACAGACCTTGCCTCTAAATATGCGGGGGGCGTCCATTCACAACCTGGATCCACACAATTAATGCATTTTCTAGTTGCTGTGTATGTGTAGTAACTCAAATAAGGTCAATTCTGTGATCCCAGGACATGGCTTGAGACACAGCATTGGTGGTACAGGCCAAGATACAGGACTGCCATAGCAAATCCAGGACAGTTGGCATGTATGCAGACAGTAGGTGACGATGAATCACCAATGGCAACACAAAAATAAGAATGGGATTTGTTTTTTGTACATTAGGTGAAGTCTAGCACTCTTGTCAGATTTTTCTTGCTGTCTGTGCCCTAGGTGCAGATTTTCTCTCACTTCCTGTCTGGGGAAACTGTTGTCAGCAGGGCAGGAAGTGCAGGTAAATCTCTCCAATGGAGTGCCTGATACCAATAAAACCAGATAGGGGTTCCAACCCTTTCCCAATCTATCCAAAGTAAAAAAAGAAAAGTAATACAGTATACTAATTGGACATACTCTTTAAATGTAAAGATTTGATGTTTAGCCATCAGAAGAAGTTTAGATTCGCCACTACAATGACTCTATAGAAGTGCATTGTTTTCAACAAGTCGCCCAACTTCTAGATTTGCATTGTGAGGAGTAACAGTAAAGCTCAACCATTGTGTAGCACTGTTAAGAAGGAAGCAGCGCATGTACTGTGTATGTAATGAACAAACATGGCTTACCCCAAGCACATATATAATTACAAACTATACAGTACATAGAATCAATAAAAACATGTTTTTTTAAAGTAATAACAGTGTATATTACTTTGTAATATATACACTATACACTGTAATATACGGTGTATATTACAGTGTATTGGATTTTCTTATATAAAGCTGATCTCTTTCATATAAGGGATGGGTGAATTTGCCTAGGTTCAGTTCACAATGATTTTGCAAATCTTGCTCGAGCTTTGCCAACTTAGCAACAAACCCCATTGAAGTCTACAGGGTGTGCATCTTGTTTTTCATTTTTGGCCATTTGTAGGACTAATAAGCAAGTTATTGTCAAACAAAAACTTGTGAAGCTGGGCACTGGTATGGGAAACTCGTACCAATGCCAACATTTAAAATATCATTTTTTTAAAATGGAGAAAAAAAATATATCAGTATTTTTCCAGACACAGAATTGTTTGCTCCAATCAACAGCTCCACCACACACAGACAATATGGATACTGTGAGCCCACCTTTTTTTATATAAAGGGAGCTGGGCTGCTGGTCATTCCTTCAAACTTTGGGCTCTTGTGACTCTGATGGGGAAGCAGGATATGCACTGCATTATTGGGTTTTTCCTTATTTCTGGTAGTGACCCTGCCAAAGTTTCAGCCATGGATTTCACTGGAAACTCATGGTAGTGGGGAACCCAAACCTCATCCCTTGCCATATGTACCATACATCTAAAAACACATTAAAAACATTCCTTTTGAAGAGGTTTACATATATTGTATAATTGAGTATGGTAAAGAGACCTATAATGCCTCTACATAAATAATATCCTACGCTGGTGGCCACAGTTAGCATTGAAGTCCATTGATAAGTCAGGTTGATGGCCAAAGACCTTACTGCTCAATGACCATCCTGAGATAGCCACCCACCAGCACTGGTAGTAGAGCTTATAGAATTAGCTGGGTGTCCACCAAATGAACCTCATAGCAGATGTGAGTGCCTTTCAACTGCTTGAATGTTAGGAAAATAATTATACATGCATATTGAAATGTATGGTTTAATTTAGAAAATATATTATTAAAAAAGTAACAGTAATGGCTGACTGTACCTTCCGGATACTTATATTTGTTGGTTACGTCGACACGTTTATTTGAACCGACGGCCTTGGTGCTGGTAAATTTTCCGATTGCACTAGTTTGCGTGCGTAATTTTCTTCGCTCATTAGATTGAACCAACCAGTCTATTTTGTCACCATTCACTTCACAAAATACAAAAGGAGTATCATACGGCTGGTCCATATCACCTTCCTTAATAGCGTTCACAGAGCACGGCCCCAAGCGGAATGAACCTGAATGGTATAAACACATTCACACATATGGTTTAAATGGTCTTTACCTCTTTGTGGAGAAACCTTTAAGTATTCATTCTGTTTTGGTTGGCCATGTCTTGTCATGTGTAGCTAAGCCTTGATTCTCAGCAACTGTGCCTATTTGCAGCCATCAGATATTCATTACAGATAGTGGATTCCCTCACTACTAAGGGGTCCAAAGGTTCACTTCTTGTATACAGGGCTGGATTTATTCTCTCTGCTGCTCCAAGGCCAGGTTCCTCAATGCGCCCCCCTACCCGCCAAACCCCCCCCCCCCCCCGGGCA